CATCTTGCTTGTGAAATTGTTTTCTGCAACTTTTTTAGCGATAGTAAAAGGCGAAGATTTTTTAGTTACTCTTTTGCGTGTAAGTACGTCATTCATTTTTTTTTTTCCAAGCTTCCTCTTATGTATGCAGAACGTTTTCACTCCGAACTTAATGGCGAGTTTGTTTTTTAAAAATAGCAAGCAACCCATAACCATACCACACTTTCTTTACGTTGCGTACATATATTTCGTTAAAAAAGAAAAAAGAAAAATTGATTCACGACTAATCGATCGATTTTATGGATTATGCGCTCGCTGTTCGCACGGCGTAACGATTTTTAACGCATCATTGTGTGTTTGTTGTTGCAGCTTAATTACTTATATTTATCGTTTTTAACTAATTTATCACGTTACACTTGTTTCATTACACCTATTACACTCTACTATAATTATCAACCGTTCCACACTGTACTTAACCGTATTCCATTCATAATTTTCTAATATTTTTCATTAATCTTCTCACCGTGTGTACAATTCGACGAATTAATTTCTCTCTTCGAACGAATAAAACCATTTTTGTTTTTTCTACGTTTCAACGTCTCGTATCGTTTTATTCCCCCTCTCTACAACGGGACACGTCCCTTTCTTCTTTACTTTAACAGAGCTTCTAGCAATCATTTAGCTTTTTATTCGTATTAACAATACTTCAACGACACAAATTCGTTCCTTGTAAGACCTGCACGAGTGAGATTTCGATCCGCCTTTATTTGATCGGAAAATCGCCGTCGCAGATGCAACGCTAAGTACCTGTGGAAGCGGATACCGGCGGACCTGAAAAGCGGAAGTGCGGAACTCGGCCAGATATGGGTGGTAGGTCAGCGCATGTGGCAGAGGGACTGGCCTGCGGTTCACGTCGCCCTTAACGAAGAATGGAGCGAGGATGTTTCTGATATCATGGCAGCTTTGAAAGGTATACACTTTGGAAGAACTTAGAATCAACAAATTCAGACTATTTTCTCATTTTGGAGCAAACTTGGTGTTGGAATAATTTAAGACTTTCACGAGAAGAAACAAGGAAGATACTTGGGGTGAAGACGTGAATTGTTACTCGTTCTTTCAGACAACGTTCGAGAAAGGGCCATCAGCTTAATATCCAAGGCTTACTCGTCGCTGAAATTAACCGTGTTCGCATCGATGACCGGTTTGCCGTTGGAAGAAGCTTGTCGAGTCGCCGTCGAAAGAGGCTGGACGGTGGAAGGAACAATGGTGCAGCCGTGTAAAATGAAAGAAGAGACCAATCTCGCGAGCGAGGTCTGCCTTACCGAGGATCAGCTGTACAAACTCACGCAATTCGTGTCTTTCTTGGAGAACTGAAGGAGCAGCTAGAGGGTCGTCAATGACGAGAAGCGCACGCACCACGAAGACCCAATCGACAGTACTTTAAACTTAGTTTTACCTCGTAATCGTATTATATAAAGGAGGAAGTGTGCTTCAAAGGAGGCACCTGTGTCCCTTCCCTAAGTATATACCTCGGTCTACCTACGCGTCCTGCCCATTCAATCGGAAGATCCATTCGACGAAGCTCGCTGCAAGCGTGGAGTCAACAACTCGATTAATCAATAACCTGCTGCTGCGTGCGGGGAAACTGGCATTTTCTAGAAGAGCTGCCACTTCTACAACGAAGGAACGAAAGAAAAAGAAACAAAACAAAACGGGTGAGAGAAAGGGAGAGAGAGAGAGAGAGAGGGGGTGAAGAAGAAGAAAAGAAAACAAAGAAACATCCACGGACCGAATTCACGGTTTTCTAACTTAATATACATATACATACATACATACGTTTTGATCGATCAGTGTTCATTTTAGCATTAAAAACGAAAAAGCAGCTGGAACGAGAATTGTTCTGTTGTACAAAATAATAATCACGGACGTGATGTGATCACTACCGTCCTGATACAGCGCTCCAAAAATCTTCTATCGTTCAGTAATTTGTCCATTAACCGTACTCGTCCTTGCAGGTTCATACTTCCCTTCTCGTCAGACACGCTCACCGTTCCTGGATCTCCTTTCGATCATTTTTTCTCTCTTTTCTTTTAATTCGTTTCTAACTAGGTTAATTGAAAAAGAAGATTTCTCAAATTCGAGAAGATGTTGCGTAAAACCGTGCGCACCAGAAGATCCCAGATCGATAAAGTCACGGGTAGCTCTAAGGGGAAAGGGTGATCTCGAAACGAGTAGCTTCGATCGCGCGTGAAAGCAAGCGGGTGTATCGTTGCGGCTCGACGAGGTCGCAGCTTGAAAAATTCACGCGAGGAGATTCTGCCGCGGGCATTGCGTCACGCAAATCGAATCCTCGCGGGTCAGAAAAATCCCGGACAGATAGGTATGCTCTCTATCGCTCTACGCGGCTCTCTTGGCTCCTTGGCCCCTCCGACATGCCTTCCAGTAATTCTCTATGAAATCGATTCTGACCGTCCCGCATTGTAAACGCTGAATATGCACAATCGCGGCGGCACGATTGCGTAACGCCTAGATATTCTCAAAGAAATCGTTTGCAGCAGGTAGCCGGTGTGTACCCACCGTCATTGGTGTCGGTTGCTCTTTTTTGGCTCCGCTATACTCTAGAAAGTTGTTGCACCGGTATCACCAATCCTACACGATACGCGAGTTTCATATTTTACGTGTATACCCGCCTGTAGCCGGCGCGTAAATTTCCGTAGAAATCGACGGGATACCGGGAAAACGCGATACGTACTTTGACTTTAATTCTAGTTCGGTTATCGCGCGGTAAACAACCGTGCAAGGTAGAAAGGAAGGAACGAGGCAAAAGGGTGAAACGGATAAGAGAAAGGACAAAGGGGAAGGAAGAAGCTTTGTAGTGTTGCATAAAAGTCGAGATAGAGTTACAAGATTTCTGTTAACCCTTTCGTGACTGCAAAATTTCTTTCTTTTTATCGTGTCTCTAATGGATATTACATTCAGATTAAATTTTCGAGTACTCAAGTGTGATGTATATACGCGTTCCATTGGTCACGAAAGGGTTAAATGTAACATCGTCATAACCAAGGCAAACTTGTGTAAATTTGTGCTAATTTTCAGTTGAAGAAAATAGGGAGAATAAGGAAAATTGAAAACTGATCTCGTTTAAAAGTTTTCTCTAAGCGTAAGCTGTGATTAAAATTGGATTTTAATTAAACTTCCGATAGCTAATCGAATATTCGGTGATATCGGTGTAGGGGAAACGTGGGAATAAAATGAAAAGAAAAGCCTCCGACGTATCTGGAAGGCGTTCCCACGCGTTCGTACCACATCAGAGTGCCTATCCTAGCGCGCTGTTTCTATCAAGAACGTGCGATCGGCGCAGTAATCGGTATCGAAAAAGGCGTTCGGTCAGCGGGGGGTTGCAAAATGGTTAGGATGACGGTACTACGTTGGACCACGCTGCGCCTTCGAATAATGCAGATTCATCGTCGTTCGAACGAGCGATGATTGCATCGCGATATCGCGCCGCTTTTTTCATCCTCCCTCTTCTTACGAGAAGAAGCATCGTTGTGTGTTGCCTCGATAGACAACGAGCACGATTATCGCCGGAGAGGGTGAACAAGAAGCCTCGGGAGTATCATCACGAATGCTTCACGTTCTCCAGCATTTCAGCCTGTTCGTGGAAACGCTCGAATATCACGTTGGAATTAGAGGAATCCCGATAGTAAGTGGCGCTAGTTCAGCCGAGCCGGGAGAAACCGAGATAAACAATTCGAAGGAAACATTCCGATTAAAATGAGCATATATACAAGTAGTTTCGCGGGTTTTTTGCCGACCGGTCGTTGAATTAACATCTTGTTTAGGTAATTTCTTCTAGAAATTCGAGAGAAACCTATCATCCAGGGTCTAAATGGAAAATTTCTCCAGTGGTAGATTAACCCTTTACCTTCACTCGTAACACAAAATAATTATCATTCTTATCGAAAGATTAACCCTACACTCATTTCTAATTGATACACCAAAATTTCAACCTATTTCGCTGACAGAAAAATTACGCAACAGGCGGTAGTTAAGGTAGAACTATCCGAAAACTAATCCAGGTGGAAATTGGCCCGATTCGAAGGGTTGTTTCTCCATCGATTAAAGATCGATTAGAAGGGGAAAATTAGCCGGATCCAAGCGCGGGTTTTCTAGAAGCTCTCGCGATGCTCGGTTACCATCGAGTATTACTAAAGACGAGTACTAGTTTGCAACATAAAACGCGAAGGTGAGAGGGAAGAGGGAAGAGCCGGGTTACCAGTTACCTTACCTGACCTCCCCTCGTAAGAGTACGCGCGCCGGTGACTCGCGTCTTCTTTCCCGAGAGCGTAGCTGCGCCGCGGCCTGTTGCGGTGACCTTTGCACGTCGCGGAAAACGCCGATGCTCCGTGAGCAGCGAGCGAGTGGCACGAATCGAACGCGACTAGTCGATTTCGAAAGTCTCCGCGGACGGCGGAAGAACGGCCGGGGTGAGACGACAGGGACGAGGAGGATGATGATAATGATGAAGAACAACTAGAAGGCCGAGTCGAACGTTTCCCTTCGTTTAACTATCGACGTTCTTCGTTAGGCCACCGACGATACAAGGGCTGTTTCGACACCTGTTCGCCGTTCCTCCCCCTTAATCCTTTCGCGATCGGCGAAATGTCTCGCGAAATGATATTCACTTGGAACGGGATATGTCACTCTTGTTTATTTAAAGCTTTCGGCGAAAATTCTTGCATCCTTTAATTATCCTACATGTGAGATTCTTCTGGTCTAATCGTAGAGTTAACGAATTAAGTTCAGTAGGTTGCGAGACTCATTCGGGATTCAGAGACACATCTTAGAATCTTGGGTCGTGAGGTCATTTGGAACCCTCAATTTCAAAGCTTCCTTACGAGGGATTGAAAGTATACAGGGTGGCACAACGAGCCGAAATTTGAACGTATTCGCGAGATGTCCGTAGATTCGAAAGGGTTAAGGTCGCAGCGAAACGTACGAACCAAGGGGGTGGCGGTTGCACACGAACGTTTTTAACTTGAAAAGTTTCACGATGAAGGTTCACGACTGGGGGAGGTAACGTTTCACTTTGAAAGTTCGACATCGGTGAATAGTTGATGAGAGTTATAGGTATAGTCGAATCTGAGCGAATTCCGGGGTGTATAGTGGACTGACTATTTAATTCGACAGTGATATAAGTTTGCGCATAGTTCTCCATATTTCTTTCACTTTTTCTTCCACATTTCCACGAGAGAGGTGAAACGGCGAACGCGATGACAATGTTTCACCTCACTCGATCATCCAGTCTAGCTGGTAGGTTGCGTAATACGGCAATATCCACCTAGTAGAGAGATTGCATCTGTACCATCCAATCCAATGAATCTTCTTCCATTGCTCATTCTCGATCTAATTTTATCTCTTCCTCCCTGTCTGCACACTCGACGCTTCTCTTCCTCTTCCTTCTCCGTTTCAAACTTGCCATCCCTGCATGTAACACGTGTGTTGCTACCTTACATCATCGAACGAGAGAGAGAGAGAGAGAGAGAGAAACGGGGGAAAAAGGAAAATTACAAACCTACCTGTTATCGAACGTGAAAACCGTTCAGAATCGTCTGGAAACAATGAGTGGAGGTACCAACTCTCGGGGCCACTCTCTGCGGGGGTTGTACCGTTAAGAGTACCTCGACGTGTCTGTTGGTCCATGTAGAAGGAGAGAAGAAGTTGAAGGAAGGATAGAGAGAGAGAGGGAATAGGCACAATTGAATGTTGGCGGAGCCGTGGGCGGGACGCAGTTCGATTGTTTCTTTATCGCGATCATCCTCGCTCCTTCTTCTACGAGAGGCAATGCCAATCTCACCACCGATCCGCGCGATCATTCCTGTTACACTCGCGGATTTCTATATCGTTCGGTGTGTGCCTGTATCACATTGTCCTTGTTTTGCGTCGCGCGACGCGCGTTGGTTCGCGCCACGGTGGGTGCGCTTAGAATGCACCTTCTCCGCGGCATTCCACGCGGAAAGAAAACCGATCGTTACCTTTTGCACAATTGCATCTTGCGGAACGTAACGGTCGATCGGTCGAACGGGGGATCATCGATTCGTCTCGATCGAAACACCCCCGCAGAATCGGCCAACTTTGTTGCTCGATCTCTGTCGTGGCATTTCGAACTGGGAGAGGAGATGTACGGGAGATTTGACGGGGCTTGGAGACTTCGTGAGAAACGAATTTTTCGGGAGCGTCTCAGATGAGATTTAATTACGTTCGAATATTCCGGAGATATCGATCGTTGGGTTACTTCTTTCACCCTGGCGAGTGGATTATTTTTAATTCATCATTGAATCTCTACTTCTTTGCTTCGTTTCTCGTTTGGAAGATTTTTCTTCGTTTAAAAATGGACTTATTTTTCATCGAATCCGAGCTCCGTTAGGGTACACGTATGGAAGAACGTTGTCTAAACTAAGCAGACTCCGTGAGAAATGAATTTACGGGATCTTGGGAGAACAATAAGATTCAGCTTTTGAAACTTCGTTTCATCAAAGTATGCAAGAGATATCGACTGTTAAACCGAGGAGGACTTAGTAAATAGGTTAATTCTTTCACCTAGAAAATGGATTATATTTAATTCATCCGCTATTGGATTTACCTCTGCTTTCGAAGATTTTTCTCTTTTTTAAAAATCCTCCTATTCCTGATCGAATCTCAACTCGACACCGTATGGAACAGCGGTTTTCTCTACTACGAGC